TAGTCGGAACCGGACTTCATAGGGTGGATACAATTAGAGGGAAGACACTTGGATTCCTCAAGCGAGTAACCTTAATCCGTTGACGTTACAAACCGGGAACCGATTCCCACAATCCACTTCGGTTAAATTGAAGGAGTTCAAGAAATACTCGGTAAATACTATTTATTTGTATTTGTATTTACTTTATTATAACAAATCAAAATTTGTATGTGATGCATGTTTTAAAGATGACGATCAGTTAATTCGCAATTAGTATGTATGGGTGTTGTATTTATTCGATAAATACTTACTTTGAAAAATTTTAAATTCCGTTGCTTAAAGCCCGTACGGTACTAGCGAACCCAACAGTTGGGACATGGTGTATTTATAGGCTTCATTAGGGACCTTAAGGAGGTGCTAAATATGGGCTTATCTCATTAAGCTTAGGAATCCTAATCATGCTCCATATCATTTTTCATGTAGAAGTCTTATTCCTTCTAACCTTAATCACCCTTCTAGAAGACTCCAAAATCTCCTAACCCTAGGATGATTATTCTATAAGGAATATTCCTCTCCTAATGGAATCTAAATTATGAAATATAATTAATTCCTAAAATCTTAATTAGAATTAAATAATAAAACATCACAGTAATATTATTGTTCTCCCCATTTAGCTCTAATTTATTCAATAAATTCGAACCTCCAAATGATTAATAAATATTAATCTAATTGCCCGATTTACCTCCATATGTTTAAGATATAACGTCTATCAATTAATTTAATTACTCACAATTAAATTAAATTGACTTCTTTCATTTCCGAAATTAGTACCACTCAATTCATCAATCATTATGCCGGATAATTATCCACCTGTAGGGTTTGACATAATATTCTTTGTTGAGCTCATTTCGGGGACGTCATCAACCCAGCGCACTGGGACATAGTGACTGTAAATAATTTATAACGGCACATCATATAAACACTCTTACTTACCAAATTACCGAGTATGTCATCCTAACAGAATAGGAATTACCCTTGGTAAATCAAATAAATAAGTAATGAATATATATGCCCATTTTATATTATCTTATAGCTTAAGAGAACGCATCAATTACTTAAGGTCTAGATTATAACAACGATCAATAAATTTTATAATTTTATCCTTCCGCGGTCCGTTCAATACTTATCATAAGTACTAGTGTAATCCATTAGTCAAAAATTAACTGAATCAAGACTACACTACAGTCTGAATCCAACATGGGTCTCACTGTCTGTCTAAACTGTGAACAATTAGTTTATATTTTACAAGTAACCGATAATATGATCTTTCTGCTCGACACGACGAACCACATTATCTACAATGTAAAATAATAGAGTTATGATTGCATAAATAAATAAACTTCAAACATAAATACTTTGACTAAAACACAAGTACCAGATCAAAATGGAATTATTTATATCTGAAAGCCAAGCTTTTACAGCATATCTAACAAGTTAGTGATGTCGACTTCGCCTTTTGTTTTCTTCTACTAAATCTACATTCACATTCTCGCTCACTTTACCCCATCCCACTAGATCTGCTGGTCTTCGGGAGGAAATTTTGTCCTCAACCTATACATCACCTTCTTGTTGTATCTCCCAATCTAGCCCATGATCAACTGTGTGCTTGAGAGGGATAGGGACAGGGAGGGGCTTGAGGCAGCAACACACTACATTTTCTAGTTAGAAAGCCAGGTCTTCATGGATAGTTTATTGTGCTTCAATAGTTTCTCGCTACTTATTAAGGTCTTTTTACCATTTTTTTTTTGCAATTCAAGTATTTTCACTATTATCAAGTGGCTGTGCAATGAAATACTTGTAATATGCCTGTATATTTTCCATCCTGTAAGAACATGAGTATGTTTCTTTCAGAGTCTTTATTTGAAATATAGACAAATCTCCAATAACTGAGGCCTCAAAGACCATTCACACCCACTTTTGCACTTTTCTATGACGAACTTAACTTCATTCTTGTGGAATTTTAAGTCATATCCATTTCTTACAAACCAATCCCTAAGAACTTCTTTGAATTTGGTTATGCTGGAAAATTTCTGATCAACATTTAGCTCAATTCTCGCCATATTAATATCATCATTCCATTCATCAGCCTCTTGAAACCACTTCTCAATATCCTCAGCTTCACTATACCAATCTTCTTCATTTGATTATTTTCATACTTTCAGCTTCTTCTCTTGTTGTTCATCTGTCTTCTTCCTTGTTTCATCCATTCTCTCGCCATCTTATGAACCTTCTCAGCATGATCATGATCCCTATGTTGGATTATATCATCATATTTAGGGCCTTTTATATCTTTCAACTCCTTATTTAGATAATTATGAGGACTGATCACCACTACTTTCCTCATGTTCATGCCTTTCTTCCTTAGAATCGTCAATTTATTGTCCTTCACCCTCGTGAGCTAACTCCTTTCTCTTTTTAGCAGAAGTATTATCTTCTCCATGTTATGCTTCAGCTTCTTTAGACTGCTTTCTACCTCACCACCAAGTAAACTATTATAATCCTAATATGCTTCTTGTTCATCGAATTTCTTGTCATCCTCCTCATACTGTGAATTGGCATCATCAGTTCGCTGGTATCTACTTGGTCATCAGACATTTCATGTATAGGCCCTCTTGAGTATATGAGTATATGAGCATATGGATACTCAAGAAATGGTATAACTTCTTGCGAACTTATCAAATTTCCATCATTGTCCATCTGTTGAACATGGCTAACTAAATATTTAAAGTAAAGTGGAATCACATACTTCCCTTCATATTTCTTCACCAACTCTAGAACATCTTTATCACAAACTATCTCCATAATCTTGTCCACATCATTCCACTGGACTAGAACCCTTTCCTACCAATGTAGTGCACAATGGGCTCCCATTTAATCACTCCATAAACTTTAACATCATATACAACAATCATATTTCTTCATGAAAAATATGTATAAAATGATTAACATCCATAGTTGAACGCGATCGGGACCACAAGATAAAAGATTACTTTATACCCTTAAAGTTAAATGTTTGACTACTTTATAGTTGAATACAACAGGAATAACAAAATCTACAAAAGAAAAAAATATGGCCAATGAAAAAAGTCCTCATGAAAATTACGTTTTCCAATCTTTTAAATCGAAAAATTTCACACAAGGACAACAAATTCCTCATACAAATAGCAAATATTATCCTAATATGTATGATTACACATTCCAAAATTATAAGAAAAAATAGACTACAAACCCTAATCTCATATATAAATACAATGAACAATATTTTAGGGTTCGAATATTAAAAATAATCTAGCAAATACTCACACAAGGACAACAAATTTCTCATACAAATAGCATATATAATCCTAATATGTATGATTACACATTCCAAAATTAGAAGAAAAAATGGGCTACAAACCCTAAATTCATACATACAATGAAAAATATTTAAGTGTTCGACTATGAAAAATAATCTAGCAAATGTCAGGAATGAGACAATTGATATGTGGAAAAAATAATTATTTTTTTTCCACTTAATGTTCTCTTCAATATAANGTCTCTCTCCAAGTTAGAAGCTTCCAGTGGGCTTAGATTTGGGCTCGAGTTTCGTCTCTTCGTTAGATATGTTTAGTCGTTTGAGTTCATGTAGGAGTTTTTCGCTTTGGGGTGCTTAAAATCTGTGGTTTTTTTTTTTTCCTTTTTGCTTTCAGGGATGTGTCGATGTGTTGAGTTGTGTGACAATAACTGAGTTTCGAGAGAAGCATTGGAAGATTTATTTTAATTTTGTTGTAGGTGTATTTTGATACTTTTTTGGTGGTATTCTCAGTTAGATTGGGTTGTAATCTACATATGTGGAATGTTTTGTCTAATTCTATAGGTTTTCTAGGTGTTAGTTGTCTTTCCTTAGCAGTTTGTAGGACTATGTGTCCGATTTTGTACTGCTTTTAAGTTATTTATATAATATTTAACGTTTCGTTGAAAAAATATCAGTAAAGTAATTGAGTTCCTTATATAAGATCGAAAACAACTCTTTCAAAAATTGGGAACCCTAAGTTGTTGAGGAAGAGATATACTTTTCAAATTGGGTTCAACAAATTGAAAATAACTCCTTCGAAAGTCACCTTCGACTCTTCCATTGAGAAGTTTA